AGTCAACGTGAAGCTTATGTCTGACAACTGTTTGTGTACAAAACATCTAGCTACCAATCCCACAGGATCTTCTATGTGTTGAGACATGGCGGCCCAGGAATCCATCACTGGCTGGCAAACATACACCGTCCTCAATATGTCTTCGTACACTGCGGTTGTATTTGCAATGCAAATGACTTTTTGCAAACCCTATAAACGCTTTACATAGCTCCGCATATCTAAATCCTTGATTTATTAATTTTTGGGTGAGTTTGTAATGTCGCTCACAAAATTGCTCGTAACCACTGCATATTCTACAAGTTGGGAAACATATACACCATAAGCTGGCTTAGATGGGATGTTAGAACTCATATTTGGAAAATTTACGATGTCAAAGTGAAAACTATCCCTCTTATCATGCAACGTAGTAGAATATTTCCCATGTTGTATAGTAGCTAATAAGTATATCTAAGTAGGAAAGTGTAGTTTTCTTGAGCTGAAGCTCAGAAGATATATGTCCTGTATGGCGTCATTAAATTGGATGTTATTTAGTATAAGAAGGTCATCTATGTACCTCATTGTATTGTTAAACCTCCTAGCCATGAATATATCGTTCTTTATCAAGTTTTTCATGTACCTGTACTCGTAAAAGAACAGGAACAGATTGGCCAATAATGGAGCACAATCAGTGCCCACAGGGATGCCCACACACTGCCTATAGACCTTGTTACCTACATTAACATACACGTTATCTATGAGGTATTCCACATATGTAATGAGCTTATCTTCTGTCAGGCTCTGTCTAGCAGATGGCACATCTGACCACACCCCCTTGCCATTGCTACGTACTACAAGAAATATGTTGTCTCTAACTCTATAAGCTTCCTGAATCAAATATTTCAAGGCTTGTTTCAGGGAGTCATGCAGAATACTGGTATGTAATGTAGAAAAATCGTAACTATCACAATGTTTCGCTGAAGAAAAATAATTAATATACTAAGCACCTGCTGTGAGTTTTCTATCACCCAGAAGCAATTCACACCTGTTCTACAGTAAATTCCATTGCAATATTGCCTGAAGTGGTTAATGATTGTATTTAGGCAACTTGTAAGCAGTTTTGAAAGAGTCTTTGTAGTATACCTATAAGACGCAGCTATAAACCTGTTACCGTAAGGCTGCTTATGTAATTTCGGTAACCAGTAAAACGATGGCAAGCATTCAAGCTCAGGCTTCACTACAATGTGATTGTCTCTCATAAAGCGTAGGTGTTCCTTAATTATATCATCTTTATCCCTGGTAACAGGCTCATATGTGGTAGTACATGTAATCGACGCTATACTGAGCCGCTGCTGACCTCCATTTGTTAACCTTGTCAGTGGGGTATGTCATCTTTTCAGGTCTATCGTCAATAATGAAACGCAAGCTGTCTTCTGCTCTCTGTCGTGTAACACTGAGCGGATAGAATAAAGAAAAATAATGTTCCGGCATAGAACCTTCTTCAGGCAATGATGCTTTCTTTGATCCTATATCTGCTGGAAGCATATTGAATCGAGGACCGTACATAGCAATAAAACCAGGGAATAGACTCTCTGGTTTAAAACCTGATATTTCAAGAATATCCATGGCATCAAGAATAAATGGTACTCGCATGTCACAGGATGCATCTCCAGTAACAGGATCAAGCTGGCGAAAATTTCCTGCAAGAACAGCTCGAAAGGTTTTCTCAGAATCTACTTTGGGGATTCCTTCTTTTCTGAGTCGTACATCCTTCACTGTTTCCTTAGCTTCCCTCAGAGCTGCTATTCACTCCTGTGAACATGTTTCCTTTCTTGGTTGTCTCTCTGCGGATTCTTCTTTGTGGTTATTGGCCATCTCCAAGGTAGATATAGAGCATGGTAATAATATACACCAATATTGCGTGTGATATGAGTAAAAGTGAAAGTTGACGGTAGTTGGAAATGGGGTACCATGACCTAAGAGTGTCAGGGTTTATTTCAGTACAAGTGGTGTGTGGGACAGTAGTAGAAAGAAAGTTAGTTCCATAGTGTAATCTGTAGTAGGCTCAATCTTCAATAGATCCTAGATCCTAGAGTATAGGTGTGGAGTATAGGAAGGCAACAAGACACAGGCAGCTGCGTTGGGAGTCTGTTATGTTTGGTTAAGTTGGCTTTGTCAAGCACTATTATTTTATGCTCTTGTGAAGCAGTTAGGGTAGATACAGAGTTAGTAATGTACATACATTGCTGTGTTGTGGAGATATTATTGTGGTAACTATATCAGTTGATATGAAACTTTTCTAAGAAAAGTTTACCTCATAGAGGGTGTAAAAGTAAAATGTTTACATCTTTGTTATCATTAGGACAGAGTTCTTGTATGAGGGGAGAGTATTCTTCAAATGGTGTTATCTCATTGTAAAGGATATATAGTATTAGAGGAGATAAAGGTTCGAAGAGGAGTTCAATAGCCAAGAAAAGGGTTTATTAAGTCCCGGCACGGGGCTAGCGATGTCAGATAAATGTGTCAGGGACCTATGGAATAAGGAGTTATTGAGTGACAGGTTTCTGTACCATAGCCGACTTGACCCTCGCTAGCCGTGTGAGCTGCCCTGGTAGCTCAGTGTTAGAAGTCGTGTTGTCCCGGGACTATAGTTGTTTGATATGTACTTGCTCAGTGTGGTTCACCCATCTTACTTGATTTGGAGTTGGGCATCTAATTTGGTGGTGTAAATTACCCCAGTCTGCTCCTACTGATGGGTTTCCGACCCATTGCACAGCATTTGGAGTGTGACTTTTCCCTGTGTGGTGCTTTATCGTAGACTTTGAGCCAATTGTCCTGGTAGCTCTGTGGTAGATCACTCGTCTGGAGAACAGTCAAAGGGTCGGCCAATGTCGCTGAGTAAGTGATCTTAGAATGGTAGTATCGAGGACTACATTGGTCGTACACATACAGAAAGTTGTAGCTATGTGGTAAGTCAAGATTTGGCACTAATAGATTTAGCCATTGTAACAACACACACCCTTTTTGTGAATGAAAGTCACGGACCGAAATATAGGCTTATGGAACTTATAGTTATATTGCTGCATTGGCCGCTAACAATAGAAGGAAGGATTAATGTGAGCCAAGGTTTTAAGACAGTGGGGAAGTCTTCTTTGATTCTTGCACTTATTCAACTGACACTAAATCCTCGGAGGAGTCAATTATTTACAAAAGCAGCCGATCATCCGCAAGCATGTGTACTCTTTTAAAGGCAGCAACACTAGGCCATCAATTATGAGGGTTCATATATAGAATTGAGCCATCCGCAACACTTGATCCATACAAGTAGAGAGAATAATGTCGGCCTTTAAAGTATCTAGTGTGAAATGTGGTTTTCACATACACTGGAGTGCCATGGTGTTCCATTGTTATAGCCTTATTCATCATTCAATAAAACAGCACTGCAATGAAAGTGTTGGGAAACCGTATCATGGTAAGGACTCTGGCACTCCCTAACTTCTTTAAAGTTCTGGAGCTCTATGGTGTTTAGCCTTGACGTTTTTTCATCAATCAATAATTAGTGTCAGTATGTAGATATGTGCACTGAACAGCTCAGGCTTGCCAGGAATAAGAGCTGTAGAACAAATGACCAATAATCGGCCAAGAATTCGGACACTCAAATGGGCGAGCCCACACTATACTCGTTTCTACGGGGCGCTGTTTGTTCCAAAACTCATTCTCCAAAAATGCATAGGTAATATGTCCACTATATATAAATTTGCTGCAATATTTAGGATATGTCAATGAAGTAGTGTAGCTACATTATGGAACTATAAAAGTTATGACGTCGACGACATTTATAAATCGACCATGAAATTTATAAATCGACCATGACATTTATAAATCGATGAAGACATTTATAAATCGACCGTGACATTTATGACTCCACTGAATATAATTGACACGGGAGGCGTGGCAAAGGACACTTGGGTGCATAATTCCATAAGAAAGCGATAGGCCGGAGTCCGTTTTAGGAGTTTGACGCATGTGCACGCCACACCCGCCCTTGGCTATGCAGCTTCATTCCCTTGTCACTTCGTCGATTTATAAATGTCATGGTCGATTTATTAATGTCGTCGTACATATCCTAAATATTGCAGCAAATTTATATATAGTGGACATATCACCTATGCATTTTTGAAGAATGAGTTTTGGAACAAACGGCACCCCGTCGTTTCTTCGGTCCGTTTCAGTGTGCCAGCGACCCAACCGCAGAAATGCAGCCAGTGTTGAGCATGCACATGTTGAATTAAAGCTTGTCGCAAAAGCTGTCCTCCGCTGTTGGAGGCGCGCCTCTCTTGCGTGCTCTCCCTGCACGCCGTGCCCGCACAGTGGCGAGGAGAAAGACGCTGCCTCAATCGTGGTGCAGGGTCGTTGGTGGTGTGCGACAGTGCTGGTCACAACAATGATCGGGTGAACAAACGACTCGCTCTGCTCGCTAATAATAACATGCTACGATGCAGCGTTGCCATTGGGCTCTCTGTGAGGACAGGTATTAGCCGCTTCATGCAATGACTGCCTAGTCGTTTCTCAAAACTTTTTTTGAACTCGCAGACTTGCTGCATAGCAATATAGCTCTAGCATTATCAAATCTAGCTATGCTAGCCAGCATTTAAAAAAGAATAGCTAATGCATGACTACGAAAACCTAGGTATAGGTACTGGTAAAAATACTGTTCGAATTCGTCATGTAGCCCAAGCCTACGCGTAACTGCCAGTGAAAAAATCAATCGCGCAATATTAGTCTCACCTAGACTATTCAGTCTTTGAAGACAATCCACTCTGGTTTTCCCAAACTATTCTCTGCGTGTGAACAAAGTGTCTTGGGGATAGGGAGAATCTCCAACGCAGACACAGGTATCCTGTTGGACAAGTCGTATTTTAATGCAGAAATCACGACGGAAGGGCGAACTGAACGAGGGTTCTCTGAAATCCGGTGTGTCCCTCGCACGTAAATAGGTTGTGCACGCGTCATCGCTTACATCACGTGCGCCTTAGAGACGTTGTTCGCCCGCGCAACCCAGTCAACCCGCTGAGTCAGCACTTTCTGCAGAACGGCACACTGGCGTTTGCAAGGCTACACTTGGACATATAAACAATCGAGAGATAGCAAGGTCTTAGCCCGCCTAAACACCAGCCAGAGCCACTTCCTTTCGCAGCTACGATACTTGATTACATTATAACCGACAGCTTAGGAATGTTGATTGTGCGCAACCTCCTCTGCGTACATAATTTCAGCTTCCTCAAGGATTCGAAGAATCCGATGAGGGGGATTAATTGTATGAGGAGGGAAGGATACATGAAGACAACATAGTCAGTTTATATTACTACATGGTATTGCCCAATTTCTCCTACTCATCCAGCAGAGTTCAAAGTACACTTTAGAGAATAAGAGAGCACCTCATGTGATCCTCCGGCCTTTGTACTGCAAGTAACCGCCTCACTACACAACACCTTATCCACACCATATGAATCACTGTTGTATAAATGACTATGTCCACAAAGCAAACAGCTCTGTTCCAAACCCACTTGATACCAACTGCTACAAGACATATGAGATATGATAAATGAGAATGAGATGACTCCATCAGGGTATTTCCCTCCTCCATACCTCCTTTTGTGGTCTTTATACTTCCTCTATAAAGTGAGAAGGGAATTGGGTCATGGGTGGGAAACTGACTATGTTGTATTCATGTATCCTTCCCTCCTCATACAATTAATCCTCCTCATCGGATTCTTCGAATCCTAGAGGAATCTGAAATTGTATTTCGGAGGTCCGGATACATTCCGACAACATAGTCAGTTTATATTAGTACATGGTATCGTTCAAAGCTCACCAGCTAATGATGCCGGTCTGAGAGTCAGGACCCGGCGCCCGAACTGGCCCATCTGCACCGGTCTATGGTAGAACCGGGTAAATGTAGAACTGGATGACCAGTTGGCTGTCCTCAGGATATCTGAGGTAGACACCCCAGACGACTTGACCTTTGAGGTCGAGGCCCCTCTAGTTGAATGAGCAGTAAACTGTTGTGTGTCGATACCCGCCTGGGCCATTACTGTTTTGAGCCAGTTACCAATTGTACAGGGCTTCACAGGCCTATGTGGACGACGAGTAGCAATAAAGATGGGGGCTTCTCCTCCCTTCACCTCGTCTGAAATCCTTCGACCTCCTCTCATAACACTTTAAGGCTCTGACAGGGCATAGTTTTGGCTTCTCAGGAAATTCTGAGTAAACCATCCCTCCTCGTCTTTGTCGGGCCTGGAATTGTAAACTTCACTGCTCCGTCCTGGAACAACCTGAAGGAGAGATCCAAGGCCACGAAATCAGAGCATCTGTCAGCATTGGCTAAGGCCAACAGCATTGCCAGCTTATGTGTCAAGAACTGGAAGGACAGGGCCTCATTGTCTGGTTGAGTCTCCAGAAAAGACAGGACAACGTCAACATCCCAGGTGAAGGTGTACCTGGGCATCGGAGGCCGGGAGTTAAAAATTCTTTTGAGGAAACGGCACACAAGGGGATGCTGACCAACCCTGCACCCATCAAGCTCTGTGTGAGTGATTGATATAGCCGAACGGATAGTATTAATCGTGCGGTACGGCTTCCCATCCTGGAACTGCTCATAGAGGTATTCAAGGATGCCACTTAAAGAAGCAGAAAGTGGATCAACTGCCCTTTCGATACACCAGCGATCCCACTGTCGCCAGGCAGCTGAGTACGTTGATTCAGTCGACCCCCTCCATGACTTCCTGAGCACTGAGATAACTCCCTGCGAAAGTCCGACAGCCTCATATGATCTTCTGACACAGGCCATGCGGCCAGAGGGAACCTGCCCTGAGCTGCCAGGGGATGGATCTGACCCTGTGGGTTGGTGACAATGTCCACTAGAGGAGGGAGTAGTATCGGCAGGCCGACAAGGCACTCCAACAACTTGGGGAACCAAGTCTGGTTCGGCCACACTGGGGCAATCACAACTGCCGAGGCCCTCTCCGCCAGGAGCTTCTCCAGACATCGAGATATGAGAGCAAACGGTGGGAACATGTATCAGTGGTGGGGGACCCATGTAATTGAGAGGGCATCCACTGCCACCGCTCCTGGGTCGGGTTTCCAGGCAAATAGGTCGATGGAAAAGTGGCCGAGCTGGTTCTCCAGCTCCAGAAACACATCCCTTTTCAGTCTCCAGTCGCTCGAGTCCGTCAGGTGGCGCGAGAGCCAGTCTGCCCTTATGTTCTCCACTCCTGGGAGATGTTCCGCATGGATAGTGAATTTCCTTTGTATGCACCACTCCCATATCTCCACTGCCAGTGCCGAGAGGGGTAGAGAGTGGGTGCCTCCCATGCGGTTCAGAAAGGCAATAGCCGTGACATTGTCCATTCTGAGGAGTACTGTCAAAGGCCCCTGGCATGGCAAGAATGTCCTCAGTGCCAGGAAGGCCGCCTTGAGCTCCAGGTAATTGATATGGTGGGTTTGCTCTACCTGCGTCCATGGGCCACTCGCACTCTTCCCAGAGCAGCTGGCTCCCCACCCCAGGAGGGACGCGTCAGTATCGATCATCAGATCCAATTCCAGAATCTGGAGTGGTCTGCCATTGTGGGCCTGTGAATACTCGATCCACCATTGCAAGTCCGACTCCACCTCGGCTGAGATACAGACCACTGAGGCATATGTGGGATCCTTCCATGCGCTTGAATTTTGGCCCTCTCCAGGTGGCGGTAGTGCAGGGAAGCAGGCATGATTGCTGGGTGTGCAGCTGTCATCATTCCTAGCATTTGTGCAAGCTGACGAATCGTCACCCTTCTCTGGGCTAGGATACTCCTTGCTAGTGACCGCAGGGAGTGGAGTATCTGACGAGGAAGTGATATTACCATCTGCTGGGCGTCATTGACAAACCCCAGGAAGTCCAGCCTCTGGGTTGGTTGAAATACACTCTTCTTTGTGTTGATAACGAATCCCAGTGCAACTAGGATCTCGAGTGCCGCCCTCAAGTGTGTTCTGGATTCCTGAGCACTGTCTGCCATCAGGAGCACATCGTCTAAATAGATGATCATTCGTATCCCTAGTCGACGTAACATTGAGACAATTGGCTTCGTGAGCTTCGTGAACGTCCAGGGCGCACTGTTCAAGCCGAATGGCAAGATTCTGAACTCCCATGTCTGACCCTGCCAATGGAAGCGGAGGTACCTCCTGTGGTCTTGATGGATTGGGACCGACAGGTAGGCGTCCTTCAGATCTAGCTTTAGTAGCCAGTCCCCCTGTTTGATGAGGCACTTCACTGTCCGAATTGATTCCATCTTGAAGTGGTGTGCAACAACGTATCTGTTGAGGGCCTTGAGGTTTACCACCCGTCTGACTTGGGGACCAAGAACATTGGGCTGACAAACCCTGTGCCATCCTCCGGCACCCTGGATATCGCTCCTTTGGCCTCCGGGTCCTGCACTCCTGGTATGAGTGGGGATTGGGAAGGGTTTTGATCAGGGCCATTATCTCCCCTGTTGGGGTTTCGAGGTTTGAGATGGACCCGTTGGCAGGCGTAGCTCGTGGAATTGAGGCTTTTGGCCGAACCCCTGGGGTTGGGAGGATGGTTGCCTCCTCCCCGAGGATGGGACCCCTCCCCTGCCGAACACATGGCCGCTGGTTGTATGGTATTGGTTTCTGTCCTGCCTGCTCCCATACGCAGCAGGAGGGCCCCTTGGAAAAAACTGTGAGGTATGTTGCCGGTCCCTCCTGAAGTAGGTGGAGCTAGTACGTGTGGGATTCTTTCCCTTCCTAGTCATTGCAACCGCCATTGAGAGAGCAGTGTCCTTCTCCACCTTATCCACTAACGCTGACTTAAGGTCCTCACCAAATAGGGTCTTCCAGGCTTTGGGGTAACAATCAGATCCATACTTATCCCACGCTGGGTCAATTGCTCCCCAGGATCTTGGAGCGCCGCTCTCGCGAGATACGCTCCGATGCATTGCCCACTAAACAGAGGGTTCTCTGGCAAAGGCTGAGCACCTCTGCAGCTGGGACATACATCTCTGGCTTCTCACCAAGCCAACTCTCAATCAATGTCTGCCTGTCCCTGCCAGGCAGACAGCATTGGGCGTGCTATGGCTAAGACCGCAAGCTGGATCTTATTGAGTTTGGCCTCCTGGCTCTTAGGAAAGCGTCGGCCGAGGTAGTTTGAGAGGAACCTGTCTACTTTAGGCACGGTACATGCTTCCGCAGGTATCGTACCATTGACTTGAAGGGCTTGAATGTGCCCTCCTTATTTTTGACCAATGACCCAGGGTCAAAGTACGATAGGTCAGACGACCACTGGGAACTGTCACTGCTCTGGCTCTTATGAGAGCTGGACTTACAGTTGGGCCTCCTCCGGTCCTTAGAGGGGGGTCCTGACCTCCTTGATTTCCCCTTGCTCCGGGTTGTGCTCTCCACGGAGGGCTCTGAGTCCCTAATAGGGAAGGTATCTTCGTGTTTTATGGCCCTTAGCAGCAGCCAGGTTATTACCTCGACTGAGCTCTGGACGATCCTTCGTCCAATCCAGGCCTCTCCAGAAAGGAGTCTTGATCTCCTGGACTTCCCCTTATGTGTCTGCAGGGTTGCCACAGGAATCCTCTGTGCAGTGGGGCCTGAATCCCTATTGTAGGGAGGGGGATCTTCATGTGACCTGGGCCTTCGCGTCAGCCGGGTGATTACCTCGACTGCTCTCCGGACGTACTCCCGTCCGATTCCCCCGTGGGGGAGTGGCCTGAGGATGACTCGTCGCCATGGCGAGAAGAGGTATCACGCAGGATCGACCCGCAGTGGGTGAGTGCCGGCTCGCTCGTCAGGACAGTCAGCCCCAGTCGGTGGCTGCGTGACCCTGCGGCGTGGCGTTTCCTGCGGGGGCGTCCTGTTCAGACTCGTCGGGCGACCCTGAGCGCCCGGGCGCACTGGCCCTGCGGAGCCACTCCGCAACTCTCTTCCTGGAACTCCGGGAGTCCCTGTGCATATTCGTCGTCCTTCCTCTATCTCTTTTTCTCGAAGGAAACGCTGAAAACCTCTCAATTTGCCACAGCCTAAGTTTATTATACTGACTATGTTTATCCGGACCTCCGAAATACAACTCGTTAACCCTCGGCGCGCATGCGGAGCGAGGGTTACAGTACTTGGTTCGTAAGTGTGTCAGTTAGTCTGTCTGTCTGTCTGTTACCACGTTTTCGTTACTAGTTATGGCGTGAAAACCAAGTGAACAAGCCAATATGCTAATTAGCACACCCATGCTTACCTCGACGGGGTCCGCTTGCACTGTCCTCTGTGCATCTTGGAGGCACAAGAAGTCACAACGAAGAGCGTGTATCGACTCCCGCGTGCTATCTACTTCTGTAGCTAGCCGTGTCAGACTCTCCGCGAGCTACTAATTGGCGAGCGGTAGCGAGCCAGCCGAGTCGTTCGTTCGATCGTACGCGGTACGTCGTGTAAGTGCACATGCGCGGCTTTGTGCGCGTTTCTTTTTATCCGAAACTATTTCAAACTTTTTACATACTTTCACACACGCGATATGCGCCGATCCATCTAGCCAGCTAGAGAACTCTCCTCCATTCGACGGCATGCGCTTCAACCTTCGGTGACCGAGGCTGTATATACCTCTTCCTAATCTTCATGGTTCCAAGGTGCAACTTGCAAATACGCTAGGTTTGCTCGTGCACATACTGCTGCATGCCAGCTGCCTGCTGGATCACGACTGACGAGCTGAAAGCGTAAGGTAAGTACTGTTCTGCTCACCTGCTCAACGTTCTGCCAATGTACAATACGTAACGGCGACAGGTAGATCTGTCTTGCTTCACGAAAGGAAAACTGTGCGCTGACGGCACGTTATGCAACCCGAACATCGCGGTGAAATCCCAAGTTGGGTCGCTCCCGCTCGCCAACAATGTTCAACATTTCCACTAGTAAGCATCCCAGACCCTGTGCCCTTTGCCAACTTGACTGACTGGTGATTGGCTGCATTCTCGCGGGTGGAGAGCATGTAGGCTGATATTATAGATTTTATTTGAGTTTTAACAGAACTTTTTTTCCACGAGTCAGTGTTGCATAATATTATTCCGCGCATGCACACACACCACGTAATGCAGAAGACAATGGTTGCAGAACATTATCTATTGTATAAATGATCATAGACGGATGGGGTGATGATGCGAGTTCCCGCACTGTATGCAGAGATCACCGTTGTTACACCTCCATTTTACTAGAGTTTCTGACTTGGTGTGGATGGTTCCAATGAAACTCACAAAGCTTTTCCTCATCGAACCCTACAGCACTTTTCTTTATGAAAGTTAACTTGTCTTTTCCTCATAAAAGGGAAACAACACATTTCAGGTTATTGCTACTTTCGTCATGCTAATGAAAATTACTATGGGCAGACAATGAATAAGTTATTTTGCGCAGGAAAGAGCGAGCATAAGCAGCAGTGGCCGAGGTTAGAACCAGAGACCGCCTGTTTACCTAAAACCGCCCTTAGCCCCCCAGACGCGCTATCCAATGTTCAGAGAGGAGAACAGGAACTACGTAATTGTATGCGCAGCCGTAGACCTCTAACCTCGCGGAGCCACGCCATCTCATTCATGGTTCCTGTTAGTGCCGCCCCACGTAGTGTACATAGTAAATTATGCAGTAGTCAACGTGAAGCTTATGTCTGACAACTGTTTGTGTACAAAACATCTAGCTACCAATCCCACAGGATCTTCTATGTGTTGAGACATGGCGGCCCAGGAATCCATCACTGGCTGGCAAACATACACCGTCCTCAATATGTCTTCGTACACTGCGGTTGTATTTGCAATGCAAATGACTTTTTGCAAACCCTATAAACGCTTTACATAGCTCCGCATATCTAAATCCTTGATTTATTAATTTTTGGGTGAGTTTGTAATGTCGCTCACAAAATTGCTCGTAACCACTGCATATTCTACAAGTTGGGAAACATATACACCATAAGCTGGCTTAGATGGGATGTTAGAACTCATATTTGGAAAATTTACGATGTCAAAGTGAAAACTATCCCTCTTATCATGCAACGTAGTAGAATATTTCCCATGTTGTATAGTAGCTAATAAGTATATCTAAGTAGGAAAGTGTAGTTTTCTTGAGCTGAAGCTCAGAAGATATATGTCCTGTATGGCGTCATTAAATTGGATGTTATTTAGTATAAGAAGGTCATCTATGTACCTCATTGTATGTTAAACCTCCTAGCCATGAATATATCGTTCTTTATCAAGTTTTTCATGTACCTGTACTCGTAAAGAACAGGAAACAGATTGGCCAATAATGGAGCACAATCAGTGCCCACAGGGATGCCCACACACTGCCTATAGACCTTGTTACCTACATTAACATACACGTTATCTATGAGGTATTCCACATATGTAATGAGCTTATCTTCTGTCAGGCTCTGTCTAGCAGATGGCACATCTGACCACACCCCCCTTGCCATTGCTACGTACTACAAGAAATATGTTGTCTCTAACTCTATAAGCTTCCTGAATCAAATATTTCAAGGCTTGTTTCAGGGAGTCATGCAGAATACTGGTATGTAATGTAGAAAAATCGTAACTATCACAATGTTCGCTGAAGAAAATAATTAATATACTAAGCACCTGCTGTGAGTTTTCTATCACCCAGAAGCAATTCACACCTGTTCTACAGTAAATTCCATTGCAATATTGCCTGAAGTGGTTAATGATTGTATTTAGGCAACATTGTAAGCAGTTTTGAAAGAGTCTTGTAGTATACCTATAAGACGCAGCTATAAACCTGTTACCGTAAGGCTGCTTATGTAATTTCGGTAACCAGTAAAACGATGGCAAGCATTCAAGCTCAGGCTTCACTACAATGTGATTGTCTCTCATAAGCGTAGGTGTTCCTTAATTATATCATCTTTATCCCTGGTAACAGGCTCATATGTGGTAAGTACATGTAATCGACGCTATACTGAGCCGCTGCTGACCTCCATTTGTTAACCTGTCAGTGGGGTATGTCATCTTTTCAGGTCTATCGTCAATAATGAAACGCAAGCTGTCTCTGCTCTCTGTCGTGTAACACGAGCGGATAGAATAAAGAAAAATAATGTTCCGGCATAGAACCTTCGTCAGGCAATGATGCTTTCTTTGATCCTATATCTGCTGGAAGCATATTGAATCGAGGACCGACATAGCAATAAAACCAGGGAATAGACTCTCTGGTTTAAAACCTGATATTTCAAGAATATCCATGGCATAAAGAATAAATGGTACTCGCATGTCACAGGATGCATCTCCAGTAACAGGATCAAGCTGGCGAAAATTTCCTGCAAGAACAGCTCGAAAGGTTTTCTCAGATCTACTTTGGGGAATTCTTCTTTTCTGAGTCGTACATCCTTCACTGTTTCCTTAGCTTCCCTCAGAAGCTGCTATTCACTCCTGTGAACATGTTTCCTTCTTGGTTGCTCTCTGCGGATTCTCTTTGTGGTTATTGGCCATCTCCAAGGTAGATATAGAGCATAGTAATAATATACACCAATATTGCGTGTGATATGAGTAAAAGTGAAAGTTGACGGTAGTTGGAAATGGGGTACCATGACCCTAAGAGTGTCAGGGGTTTATTTCAGTACAAGTGGTGTGTGGGACAGTAGTAGAAAGAAAGTTAGTTCCATAGTGTAATCTGTAGTAGGCTCAATCTTCAATAGATCCTAGATCCTAGAGTATAGGTGTGGAGTATAGGAAGGCAACAAGACACAGGCAGCTGCGTTGGGAGTCTGTTATGTTTGGTTAAGTTGACTTTGTCAAATACTTTTATTTTATGCTCTTGTGAAGCTGTTAGGGGAGATACAGAGTTAGTTATGTACATACATTGCTGTGTTGTGGAGATAATTGTGGTAACTATGTCAGTTGATATGAAACTTTTCTAAGGAAAGTTTACCTCATAGAGGAGGTGTAAAAGTAAAATGTTTACATCTTTGTTATCATTAGGACAGAGTTCTTGTATGAGGGGAGAGTATTCTTCAAATGGTGTTATCTCATTGTAAAGGATATAATATAGTATTAGAGGAGATAAAGGTTCGAAGAGGAGTTCAATAGCCAAGAAAAGGGTTTATTAAGTCCCGGCATGGGGCTAGCGATGTCAGATAAATGTGTCAGGGACCTATGGAATAAGGAATTATTGAGTGACAGGTTTCTGTACCATAGCCGACTTGACCCTCTGAGCTGCCCTGGTAGCTCAGTGTTAGAAGTCGCGTTGTCCCGGGAGTATAGTTGTTTGATATGTACTTGCTCAGTGTGGTTCACCCATCTTACTTGATTTGGAGTTGGGCATCTAATTTGGTGGTGTAAATTACCCCAGTCTGCTCCTACTGATGGGTTTCCGACCCATTGCACAGCATTTGGAGTGTGACTTTTCCCTGTGTGGTGCTTTATCGTAGACTTTGAGCCAATTGTCCTGGTAGCTCTGTGGTAGATCACTCGTCTGGAGAACAGTCAAAGGGTCGGCCAATGTCAGTACCGTAGCTGAGTAAGTGATCTTAGAATGATGGTATCGAGGACTACATTGGTCGTACACATACAAAAGGTTTTGGCTATGTGGTAAGTCAAAGGTTTGGCACTAATAGATTTAGCCATTGCAACAACACACGCCCACATTTTGTAAATGAAAGTCACGGACCGAAATACAGGCTTTTAGAGTTGTATTGCTTCATTGGCCGCCAAGAATAGAAGGAAGGGTTAATGTGAGCTAAGGTTTGAAGATGGTAGGGAAGTCTTCTTTTATACTTGCACTTATTCAACTGACAATAAATCCTCGGAGGAGGCAATTACTTACAAAAGCAGCCGATCATCCGCAAGCATGTGTATATACTCTTTTAAAGGCAGCAATACTAGGCCATCAAAAGATGATGGGTCATAGAATTCAGCCCTCTGGGCAACACTTGATCCATACAGGTAGGGAAAATAATGTAGGCCTTTACAAATAATAATAAAGTAGCTAGTGTGAGATGTGGTTTTCACATACACTGGAGTGCATGGTGTTTTTTTTTTTATAGGGATGACTGTCATTATGCATCAATAAAACAGCAATGCTATCAAAGTGTTGAGAAACCGTATCATTGTAAGGACTCTGGCACTCCCTAACTTCTTCAAAGTTCTGGAGCTCTATAGTGGTTAGCCTTGGCGTTTCACATCAATCATAATTAGTGTCAGTATGAGATAATGTGCACTAAACAGCTCAGGCGTGCCAGGAATAAGAGCTATAGAGTAAATCGCCAATAATCGGCCAAGAATAATTCGGACGCTCAAACGGGCGAGCCCACACTAGCTATCCTCGTTTCTTCTGTCCGTTTCAATGTGCGAGCGCTAGCGACGCGAGGGTGTGTGCGAATGTGACGCACGATCGGGACGACTTTTTGGCGAGGGGGAGCGACCCAACTGCAGAAATACAGCCAGTGTTGAGCATGCACATGGCTGGAGAATTAAATCTTGTCGTAAAAGCTATATACTCCGCTGTTTGAGGCGTGCCTCTCTTGCGTGCTCTCGCTGCACGTCGTGCCCGCACAGCGGCGAGGAGAAAGACGTGTTTCTAGCTCATCCGGAGTCTTGGAAGCGAGACTCTGTCTCCTACAAGTTCTGTCCCCAGTTTTCCGGGTTTCTGAAGCGCAATTTTCCACACGGCTTCGATATGTCGATAAACATTGTGTACTGTATACAATGCACGTAGCCTACTGCCAAAAATTGATGGATTGAGAGCTATAACTGAAACAAAATCTCCAGATGTGATTTGCATTGTTGAAACTTGGCTGTCAAATGATATTTCCGACAATGAACTTGTGATCCCAGATTATCAGATTTTTAGACGTGACAGGGATCGTCATGGTGGAGGTGTGTTGATGTATGTTGTATGTGCATTTTTCTGTTGCTGTTGATTTATGTAATAGTGTAACTGATGTTGAGTTGTTGACTGTTTCAGTTTGTCCTCCTAAATCTACTCTTAAAACTATCATGTTTCAGGCGATCTCCAATGCCGACCGGTTTTGCGGATGCACAGTGCAACAGAATGGGAGCGCTAACCAGGTAATCACGTTGTATATACACATGCTGACTTAGCACAACCAAAGGAGGTGGAAGCGCTCACGTGAATTGCGTGTGAATCACGCAAAAATTCCAATTAGCGGGTGAAAGAATTCGGTGTCAGTGCCACCGAGGACAGTTGGATGACGCGCTAGAAATCTTGCAGAGAGTTATAGAAAGAGTTAAATAAGGTTTATACAGTATTCTTTGCTTAGTTATAACTGCCGTATAGTGAGTGGCAGACAGAGGTTGGCCGACTTTTCCGAATCTTTTGCCTAAGGCAGACCTACCTAGCTAAAGAAAGCATCCCGATATTGTTTTGCTTCCGTATAGTGAGAGCTTTGTTTGTGCCATACATTCTCTATGGAAGACAAGCTGCTGACTTGGCAAAAATTGCAGAGGCGTTACGTAACTGCCTAAACCTCCTCTGCAGCACAACCAAGAAATCGGACCTCACTTACAGAACCTCTTTCACGCGAGAGCACGTGAGGGTCTGGGCACGACGAGACTACGTACGCGTCCGTAAATTATTCGACTGCACCAATGTCTATTATCCTTCGAGTTTCTTTTCTTTTTTTCGTTGTTGTTTGCTTTTGTCTTTTTCCTTGTTAATTGGAAAAAGTTTCAACGTCCTAAAAAAAGGGCGCGTACCGCGCGTAATGTTCAACGTCATGCGCGCGAAGTATTGACCTTTTCAAGCAAACAAGAAGATGAAATGGTACATAATAAGGAAAAACAAAACAAAATAAAAACAATGGAATAAAGTAGATAGGTCTAGAAGTTCTCGTAGGGTTCAGAGTCACTCGTTGGTTGGGACATGGCCCTCAGCTGTTGCGAGGGTTATGTCCGGTACACGTATTGGGCGGTGGCGGGAGGACC